GAGCGGTGTCTCATCTCGTTCTGCCCACACGACAGTGGGTTTCTTCCCACGCGACGGCAGTGGTGACGGCGGCGAGAAAACAGGGTAGGTTCTCCCCTCTCCGTCCACTTTTTCTTCTAGGGTTAGGGTTAGGGTTTCGATCCGATTTGAAAAATGAATCCCCTCCCTACTGAGACCGTGCGTTGTGCGGCTCTCTTCCCGCGCGCCATCAAAGCGGCGGCGCGGTCTTCTTCCCGCGCGACGGTGGTCTTCTTCCTTAGGGTTAGGGTTTCGTTTCTAATCATGTTTCACTTTTCTACCCCGATCTACGATCTACACACTAGAAACCTAGAAAACCTGGCTCGGATACCATTGATAGAACTGATAGGACCTCTAGACGCAGATCTAGTGGGTAAAACTTGACTTAGATGGAAGACTTGGTGATGTACCTTGTCATGCGCAGTCACAGCCACGGCGCCACCACGACATGGCCACTGGAGTCGTAGTAGGGGAAGCCGTGCAGGCCCCCGCTAGGTCATCGAACGCAACGGCAGTGCAGGTGCTGTGGCGGCGGCGAAGGCGATGGCGCTTTCCGTCACTCACAGCGCCCCTCTCGATCGGTGTAGGGTTAGGAACTTCGGTGGGGCGTTGGTGGCTACAGTGAACATCGTGTCTTGTGCCCTAGCCCCCACCATCCTTTTATAGCGATGCGCGACAGGGGCCGATCAGCCAGGAGAACCGGCTGAGCGTCCCCGATCAGGGCGCGGATCAAGGGCCCAATTGGCCGTTGGGCCAACTGGTGGAGATCATCCTAACACTTAAGTCAGTTGCGCAAGTAGTGCCAACCTACTCAACGAGTTGTTTCCTCTTTTCAAATACGATCTGCAAGAAAATTAGGGCAGCAATAACAAACTAGTGGTGTGGAGGGTTGGTGAATAGCCGCCATATCCACTGGTTGCGCTGGGATCGTCTTGCCCAACACAAGTCAAAAGGTGGCATGGGCTTCCGTGATTTGCATCTTTTTAACAAGGCTATGTCAGGGAAGCAAGGTTAGAGACTTATTACAAGGCTTGACAGTTTGTGTGCTCGGGTGTTGAAGGGCCGATATTACCATGATTCGGACTTCATGGGGAGCACTGGGAAGAAGCACGCTAGCCACACGCGGCGTGCAATACTGGCTAGGAAAGAAGGTCTGCAGCAAGGTGTGATCAAGCGGATCGATAATGGTACTTCAACAAACATCTGGCAGGAGAGGTGGATCTCGATGCACTTCGATGCCAGACCTCTCTATAGTTGGCCAACGGTGGCCCGGGCCAAGCACAGCCCGCAAGGGGTCGGGCCGGCACGGCACGCCATGCCTCTCGTGCCGTGCCCCTCCGGGTCTCGTGCCTGGCCTAGTAAGCACGGCCAAAATCCATGCCGTGCCGGCCTGGTAAGCACGGCCAAATCCGTGGGTTGTGCCAGCCCATAGCCCGGTGCCATTAAAACACCTCAAACTACTTCTCTCATCCAACACTTCTCTATTTTCACAATCACATTTCACAATTCATTCACATTTCAGTATTTCACATTCACAAGTAATAAACTGATCACAGTCATAGATTCTCAATTCTAACAAAAGCTACCAAAGGAGACGAGAATTAAAATAACTGAGCTATTTATGCAATATTACCTCGTTAAAAACCTTTTTAGGTAAAACTCACCCTTGTCAGAAACCCTAGAAAGGGAAAGAGTGCAGCACAACTCTTAATAAGTCTTCCATCATTGCTCAAAGGTCCCAAGTCACACTGTCACAATCACAGATGACAGATACAAAATGGAGATAACAGATTAACAGAGCACTCTCTCCTCTCTCAACACTAATTACCAGCAGTCCTAGATGTACCAGCCCTAGCCCCAGATGAACCAGCAATACCAGCTGCCCCATCTGCATCTTTATCGAGGTACAGATTCTTGAAGGAGTCCTCCAGCTCTTGGTTGTCAACAACATGTTGTAATCTACTTTCTCCTAACTCCCAATCCTTTATGCAGGCTAGCATCTCCATAGTTTCAGGCAAGAGGCGGCGTCACCGCTCTTCAATTATCCTTCCTGTCAAGCTAAAACATGATTTCGAAGAGACAGTAGAAACAGGAACAAACATAATATCTCTAGCCATTATAGATAGGATTGGATAGGTTAGTTTGTGGTCACACCACCAGAGAAGTAAATTAAAATTATCCTCATATGCAGTGACATTGTCACTGTCCAGATAAACTGAGAGCTCATTAGCAGTAGAAGCAGATGAAGATAAAGTGGGGGCACAGGCAGGGGAAGGACCAATAATAGATCTAGGGCCTCCAAAGATTCTTCCACATGCCTGTTTTCTCTTACCTATATTGATTGTAGGCTGTGCAACCCTTTGACTCCTAGCTGCACCAAACTTTCTCTCATATTTGTTAAATAACTTGTAAATTTTAGTTTTTACATAAGCATAATATGAAGTATAATCACAACCAGTGCTCTCTTTAAGTAATTTCAGGACTCTAAATAAATCTCTCATCTTAGCTCTAGGATCAAGAATGAATGTAAATGAATATAACAGAGGTATATGCTGCCAGTATTTAAGGAATTTAAGCTTCATAGGATATACAACAACAATTAGATTTTAATCTTTTTCACTTGCATGTAAATGAGAAGCAATTTCTAGCAGATGATGCAGGATAAGTGGACTAGTTGGATAGTAAACATCAGAAAGAACAACAGTGGAGTCATAAAATAGTTTCAGAAACTTCAATATCTTTTCAGCTATATACCAATGCCTTGTAGACAACAATTTAGAGCCATAATTAGAATTAATGAACACAGAAAAAACATGCTTATATGGAACTAAGTGTTTAAGCATAAGATATGTAGCATTCCATCTAACATCCATATCTAAGCCAAACTTTCTAGGTCTAACACCTTGAGCAGTATAATAGTTCTTAAGCATAGTAATTCTTTGATTAGAGGAATTTAAGAAGTTAATAGCAGTTCTAAAATCTTCTGTGTAAGGTTTGAACCTCTTTAAACCAGATTTTATAATCAGATTAATGATATGACAAGCACAATGTTGATGCACAAGATTGTACTTACGCTTAGAAGGATCAACAGGCTCAGGTGTAGGATCAAGACCTAAATAACCAGCAAACATAGGTGTCAAAGTTTCCACAGCCTTAGCATTAGAAGAAGCATTGTCTAGAGTTACAGAGAAAACCTTATCAATGAGACCAAACTCCTCAACCACACAAGCAACCCTTTCAGCAATATTTTCACCAGTATGTTTCACCTCAATCAACCTAAGCCCAATAACCTTTTTTTTCTGTAACTCCCAATCAGCACTAACAAAATGAGCAACAACACTAATGTAATCCTCCTTACCATTACCAAACCAAATATCTGATGTCAGAGCAACAGAGCAAGCAGCAGACAACACAGAATTCTTAAGCATATTACAACGTTCAGTAAACAGTTTCCTTAGATCTCTAGTGGTGGTCTGTCTAGATACTTTAACAAACCTAGGGTCATGAGCACGGATAATGTAATCCTCCCAAGCCTCTGTCTCACCAATACCTAACGACAAATCAAGCCTAGAAATCAAGCGACACAATTCAGATCTAGCAACATCAGGTTTATACTCCTAGTTATGCACAGAACCATCAGTATTGTAAGCAAGCCTAGACTGAACCATCAGTATTGTAAGCAGCTTGATCAGTTTTCTGCCTACAAGATTTCTAGTGCATCTTCAAGTGCCTAGTGCTAGCATTAGATCTAGCAGACAAGGTATGCTTACACATTTTATAGGTAGCTTTAGTGCAGATTTTCCTACCATTCACAGTCTCATAGATCTCATCAAAATCAGCCCACACAGCAGATTTACGCTTACCAACACCAGGTCCAGAAGAGGTACCAGTACCAGCAACAGATGGAGTTGAGCCGTTGGAGCAGACCGGGGTCCCAGCCGCCGTCGCCCCTTTACCACCGCCGCCGGAGCAGCAGAACCGCTACTGACATGGTTACCGAACAAGGCAGCATCGTCCTCATGGGTGTCGTCGTCATCCTCAGGGGCCAGGCCTACCGCGATCAGATCATCGTTGCCGGTGAGCGGCCAGACGATCTCGTCATCAGCACTAGCCATGGCGCCCTCGACCGCGGAGGGCTCTCGAGCACCGTTCCTCAACGGTGCGCGGGGCCGCCTAGGTCTCTCTATGCCACAGCTAGAGGACGACGCATCGGCTACCGGCCTGCGCAAAGAGATGGAGGAGGAGGAAAAGAACATATCAGAATAGATCAATCATCATTCATCAATGGAAGAAGAGGAGGGTTAGGGTTGTACCTACGCAACTGGAGCCCGGTGCCAGAGAAGACGAGGGCCACCCAGAGAAGACGACACACCGGTTAGAAGGACGGCGAGCGGCGGAGGAGGGGCAGACGGAGACACGAACTCACATAAGGCAGAGAGGGAGGGGATCAGGTAGGAGGAGTAGGGAGCTGCTCGCTGGCGGCAGGAGGATCGTCGAGGTTACCTCACCGAAGTCGGGGAGGACGGAGCCGAGAGCCCGAGACGGCGAGGGCGAGACCGCGAGAGCGAGGCGAGATGAGGCGCGGCGGGATGAAATGAGCTAGGGTTCAGGGTGAGGGAGAGGCGCCGCGTCGTGCCAGCTTATATATGAGGGGGGGGAGGCGGGGACGCCGGGGAGCGCGTGGGCCGTGTGGGCGCTGGGCCTTGGGGAGGAGAAGAGAACCGAGGAGGGGAATGGGGAGGCCGGGCCGTGCCATGCCAGCCCACGGGCCTGAGCAGCGGCCCAGGCTTGACATGCTCCCTCGGGCCGGGCCAGCCCAGGCCCGCTGACCATCGGGCCGTGCCGTGCTTGGTTCGGGCCAAAATTTCGTGCTTCGTGTCGGGTCACCGTGCCTCGGGCTGCATGGACAATATTAGACCTCTCACACCCCATGACTGCCAGGATGTGACTATGGTGTCCGAGCTGTTGACAGACTCAGGGCAATGGAACGTGGAGAGAATTCGGGAGATTTTCATCCGGTTGATGCAAATGCCATCCTCCGAATACCTCTGAGAATGCAGGATGGAGAGGACTGGTGGGCTTGGGAGCTGGAGAAGCACGGTGAATTTTCTGTGAAGACGGTATATCGAAAGTTGGCGTCAATGCACCAGCAAGCCATAGAAACACCGGAAACCTCGGGGGATGAGTTCTGGAAGAAGACATGGAAACTGAATGTCCCACCGAAAGTGAAAGTTTTTTGGTGGCGAGTACTTCATGAGTTTCTGCCGGCAAAATCAGAACTGAACCGGTGGCACATTGAGCCTACTGTGTTTTGTGAGACATGTGGCGCTGATAGCGAATCTATTCGACATGTCCTGCTTGAGTGCACAATAGCTAGAATGTTCTGGCGGGAGCTTAAGTCCATTACTGGGGCGAAAATACCAGACCTGAATTCTTACTCTTGGGCAACCGATATCTTGTTGGATGGCTTCTCCTCAGACAATGAAAGACGTATTTTCATCATTGGAATGTACTCGCTTTGGATGCAGCGAAACAAGAGGCGGCATGGGGAGGACCAGATACCTGTTAGGACAGCGGTTAGCTGGACGGTGGATCTGGCGAATGACTTGTGGGAGATTCACAAACCAAAGAAGAAACAGGTCCTCAGTGCTAGCAATCCAACTTGGCGACCACCATCAGATGGCTGGGTTAAATGCAATAATGATGCAGCCTATCAGGTGGGAATTGGGCAGGGAGCGACGGGCGTCATTGTCAGGGACTCGGCTGGTCAGTTCATGGGTGGTCGAGCACCCTGGTACCCCCGATGGAGGTGCTGGCATGCCGAGATGGTATGCTTTTTGCGAAGACGAAGGCGGTGGACAAGCTCCAAGTGGAGACGGATAACCAGGAGCTGGTTAAATTATGGGCAGGAGGTGACTACCATCGCTCAAGTCTGGCGCCAATTCTCAGGGAGATAAGTGAGCTTAGTTCAGATTTTCATGATTTTAATTTGCTATATGCTAGTCGTTCTTGTAATCGTATTGCCCATGTACTAGCAAAGCAAGTCACAGACGACATCAGGGTGGGCGAGTGTCATGTTGCCCCGACCTGTATTGTCGGTCTGCTGGCTGAAGAATGTAATTACCATAACCCCTGATGAATGAAGGAAGCACCGATTCACACACAAAAAAAAAGATGGACATGAATAATACGAAACCTCACCTATACGCGTCGTGTATGTCTGAAATTCCGGATGTTTCCTGAGTCCTGAGGCATGGATATGGATGGAGAAAAATGCATTCATGAATGGAAAGGTCACCCAGACGTGCATATAAGGCAGTTTTGATCGTTAAGATGGTAAAAAAAGATTAAACAAAGTTTTAGCAGTATATTAGTAGCATACAAACGTTTGTGAAAAATCATATTCTTGTATGGTGTCAAATCAAGACACTTTTTATTCGGAAATTGTAGTTCTCGATGAAATCTACAATTTTATAATTTTTAGTTTTTTTATTTTGAGATCATTAAGATACTAAAAAATTAATATAAAATTTCAGCAGCATATTAATCCCAAGTGCTTGTCGTCTTAAAAAATCATATCTTTCTTTTATGGTGTTAAATGAAAATACTTTTTTTAAATAAAAGTTGTAAATTTTGATGAGATATAAAACCCTATAATTTTGAGTTTTTTCATCTAGGGTCGTTAAGATGTACTTAGTACAAGAAAAATATGACGACGTTACATGACGAAAGCCGTCACACAGAGTCTGATTGAGAAATGCCTAAGAATTCGAAGGAAGTTGGGGCCAGTTTGGATGTCAAAATTTTTGGCAAAACGCTATTGTAGCATTTTCGTTGTTATTTAGCAATTAGTGTCCAATCATAGTCTAATTAGGCTTAAAAGATTCGTCTCGTGGATTTCGTCTAAACTGTGTAATTAGTTTTATTTTTTATTTATATTTAATGCTTCATGCATGCGTCCAAAAATTCGATGTGACGAAAAATCTTGAAAAATTTGGCATTTTGGGGTGCAACTAAACAGGGCCTTGGCATTGGGTGCCACCATGCTATATTGCTATTGCAAAAATACTGTTGTGCTACGGACTCGGAAACAGAGCCCCGGATTAATCCGACTCGATAGATCAGCAGCTTCGTGTTCGGTTCGAACACTATTCCGCGTGGCTACACGCCTACGCCAAAGCAGCGTTACGGCAATCACAGATCGCCTCCTCCGCTTCCGATGTTCGCTTGTGGCGTTCCTGGTGCGTCGTCTCTCCCTCGATCCATGGCGACACGGCCGCGGCCGGTAGCGCGCGCGCACCTCGCGGTGGTGGCACACGCACGTCGTCTTCATCCGGGGGTGGTCTCCATCCCGCCCAAGACCACGACCACCAAGAGCGTGCAGATGACGACGACCTCGCCGCAGCTCCCGGTGCCGTGCCTCATGGTCATGCCTCCAAGGCCGCAGCTCTCCAAGCCTAGGCGCGCGGACGCCGGCGGTGGCGAGACACAGGACGCAGACATGATCAGAGCGGCCAGCCGCGACCGCGAGAACAAGCCTCTTTGCCCGCTGGAAGCCGACGAGCTCGACGATGGCGAGTGCAACGAGACCGGGACAGAGAGCAGTGAGATGGACAAGCCACTGCTGGCCATGGACGTCGGGGCCGAGCTTCCTCGCCGGAGGCTCGCCGGACCGGTGCAAGCTTGCAGTGCCGACGTTCAGGGTCCACGTCCCGTAGCTGAATGCTTAATGTTTGTATACGTAATCTGTACGAGTATTTACGAATTACGAGCCATCAGCCATCAGTGGCGGGTGCCGTGCCTGATGCTTAGCAATACTACGTAACACTGCATATTCGATACGTTTCAACTTTCAAACATGGGGGATTCGTGTTATTCATATAGGAATTAATATTTTTTTTGTTAAGCTTAAAGCATTCATGTGAAATTTCTTGTTAAGCGATATATAAGTGTTAGAGAGGTTCGTGTATTAATTTGGGCAGCAGCCCTCGCTTTTATATCGTATACATATGCATGTTTAATATATATTTAGTTGAGACATAGGTTAAGCGATATATAAGGTAGCTGCTAGCTAGGGTTGTGCGCGCGGTTCCAACCATGCACAACTGCAGACGCCCTCTTTGCCGAGTGCTGGGGGCACTCGGCAAAGCCAGGCAAGCACTCGGCAAAGGCTTTGCCAAGTGCCGCACTCGGCAAAGGCCTCTCGGTAAAAATTTCTTTGCCGAGTGCCAAAAATCGACACTCGGCAAAGTCTTTGCCGAGTGCGGGTCTTTGCCGAGTGCCAAGCCCGCACTCGGCAAAAAAATAACTGCCGTCAACATTTAACACCGGCTTTGCCGAGTGCATAGGGACTGGCACTCGGCAAAATTTGAATGTTTGCCGAGAGCCAGGGCTGAGCACTCGGTAAAGAAATAATTTTTTTTTAAAATCTTTTTAAAAATAGTCTTTGCCGAGTGGTACCATCTGACACTCGGCAAAATTGACCTCTTTGTCGAGTGCCAGGCTGTGGCACTCGGCAAAATGTACCTCTTTGTCGAGTGTCAGGCTGTGACACTCGGCAAAATTGACCTCTTTGCCGAGTGCCAGGATGTGGCACTCGGCAAAACTGGGAAGTGGCTGTTTTTGCGGCATTTTTTCCCAGCTTTGCCGAGTGCCACACCCCGCACTCGGCAAAGATTTCTTTGCCGAGTGTTGGCACTTTCGGCAAAAGCTGAAATTTGTAATTTTTTTTTTGTTTGTTGCTTTCCTTGAAAGCAAACACGCAAAACTCATATATAATACATGAGACACAGCACCACGTGCATTTAGTATCACACAAAACGCATACATAATCCATAATACATCACAAGCACATTCAACATCCATCACAAGCACATCCTCCTACATAATCCATCACACGCACATCCAATGTGCAAATCCATGACAACATCTAAGAAGTCTTCATCCAACACAAGTCCTAAATCAAGAAAAGTCAATGAAACATGAAGGGGCACCACCTCGCCACCCGATCCCAATGGGAGCTCAAGGGGCACCTCTCCGTGCGGTGGTGGACCTGTCCAAATGGGTGTGTGTCTTGAGATGGCGGAGTCGGGTTCAACCCGACGATCATTGCACAAAGGAGAATTGAATTCATTAGTATCTACACAAGCTAAAGGACTTGATCAACCATATATATATACTCACCGGAGTGCCTAGAGCCGGAGGAGTAGGAGGCACAAGCGAGGCGAGCAATGATCGGGGCACCACCACACCCGGGAGAGTGGTGCCGAGGCTCGACATGAATGAGAACATGTCCTGCATCCTCTGCGCCTCGGCCGCCCTCCGGGCCCTCGGGACCTCCCACTCGGCCCTCTCGGCCTCCCTCTGGCCCCTCTCCTCTCGACCCTCTCGGCCTCCATCCTCTCCACAAAGGCTCTGCAATATTCAATCACCAACGTTTAAACAATGCAAATGCAAGGTACATGTGTAAAAGTAATGAACGGCAGCGAATGAAATAGAACTAACTTTGGAGTGCCGCCATCTGCTGCAGTGTGCTGCTCGCCTGCCGAGGTCGAATGGGGACCAGACGAGCTCGTGCTCATGCTCGGATCTGGGTGAGGTTGGGCACAGAGGTCGAGTCGACCATGTTGGAGGCCATCCAAGATGGGCGCCGTCTTGCTTCCCTCCTCCGAGCCTCATCACGAGGTCGGTATCAAGGGGCTGGGTGGCGGGGTCAAAGTCCTCCCCATGCTCGCCATGAGCCGCCGAGGCGTGGTCGGTGAGCTTGCTATGGACGCCGTGTTCTGTGTCGCGCTCGGGCCCGTCCTCCGTGATGTAGACGGTGTGCAGGGCTATCGCCTTGCCCCTGTGTGCCATGGCGTCGCCATGAACTCGTTGCATTCACAGCCATCATGCGATCGGGACCGTGAGGAAAACACAAAGACGATTAGAAGTAATGAGAATTGAGCGTTAGAACAAATAAATAAATAAGTGCGTAGCGTGTACCCAGGCCTGGGCGTATGAACTAAGGGGCCGGTTGCCTTGGTGGTGCGCCGGCCCACCCATCTGCAGGCGGCACTCCCGACGGAGGGCTTGCCTCTCCCTCCACTCATCGGAGACCCACTTGTCCACGATGGCCGCCTAACAGATCTCTCGTGCTGGCGCAAGCGCACCAAGAAGGACACATCTCGCATGCCATCAAGTATTGTATTAGAAATGTTAGAATATAAAATGAAGGCTACCTATTCTTCATGGAATGAGTCGATAATAATGTTTTATAACTTACTTGAGGTACCGCTCCCCGGTGAGTGTCATGGTCACGGCCTCGCTCTTCCCGGTCCAACCAAGGACGTCCGCACGAGTGGTTGGTGTGGCACTCGTAGCCTCGCCTCGTAGTGTGTCCGTGACTCGACTCGTGATGCCCTGCATGCCCCCTGCACCTTCGCGTCACCGGGCGGGGTCATGCCCTCCTCCAATGTGAAGAAGTCCTGCATCTGAGACATCATGTGTCCTTTCATTATTTCAAGAACGTCTAATGATTCCATAGTATTGAGCAATGTAGTGTGATGTAGACTCACCCGAACTCACGCTGATCCGCTCTCACATGCGGTGCATACCACGGCGTCCACGTGGAGTTGAAGTGGTCCCACGTCCAGGGAGGCGACTCAACCTGGGCGTGGGTGACCAAACCAGGGTAGTGCAGGCGGATCAGGCCGCCGAGGATCCCATTGCACTGCCGATGATCGCCCCCGGACACAAGTTCCTAGTTCCTATAGGAGTCAGTAAGAAGAATTGTTAGTCCGCAGTTCGGTTTTCAGCATATGAACAAGAAGAGATGCAAAATGAACGGATACTTACTTGTCGCCCTTGGGACGAATCACCGGCCTGCTCTGAAACGGGATCGGTCGCGTCGGGAGCTGCGAGGACCCGCGCAAGTACGGTGCCGATGAGGTGCTCGAAGTGGAACCCCCGCCACCCC